CGTCCTACCTACGGCGACCCCTTTGCCTAATGCAACCAAGCTCGCGAAACACACCGCAACACGTTGAGCTGCGAGAGAGCTTGATCCCCCCCTCTAGCTGCGGCGCATTTTTGGTTGCAGTCAAGCTCGCAAAAGACGCCGGAGCACGGTGAGCTGCATGCGAGCTTCAGTGATCTTCAAGCATCTACCGCTTTGTATGAGCGGCGGCTTCTGCTTATTCTATGGCTTCTAGCTGCTGTTCTACCGTCCGGATCCTGATCTGGCTTGCCTGGTCATAGCTGTTGCGGGCGATATTCACTTCAGGGGCCGATCTCGTTCATATTCGTGCTGGGAGCATGCTATGGTTGCGGGCATCGGGCTAAGTCGAAGAAATTGCAATCTGAAGCGGGGCGTAGGTTCTGCTGGCTGTAGGCTTAGGATGGTTGGTTAAAGTGGGCCTGGGAGGGTAGCGGATCGAAGGGATGCACACGTTCTCTTGCGTTCAGCTGCTAGAGATGGCTTCCATATACTTCAGACGGTCAACATGCTGGCATGGGTCTCTTCCTTCAACTGGGGGCACGTATATATATATATATATATATCGCATTAGCACCCCGTTGGGGCACGCGCATCTCGCATGATAAAGGAACAGCACCCTGCTGGTACATGCTACTGAGAGGACCAACAAAGCTGAAACGAAGGACCTACGTCTACACTTTGTCCGCAGAGGCCTGTGCCTCTTGATATCGGCCCGCTGTTCTACAACTGTAGAAGAATGGAACACTGAAATCTCACATATCGTTCTTGCCTTGTCTTACCAGCCTTTCTAGCTGCTCTAGCAGAACTAGATCTCCATTGCACAACATCGTGCTTCCAGCACTAATCCCGTCTTCAGCTGTTTTTTTTTACATGGCTCGCTGCAGCTCTAAAGCGTGTTATCGGCGCGGAACATAATCTGATCGCAGAGAGGAGCTGGGGCCTAGTATTTGGCTAGGCTCTCCTTCACCCCAAGCGGGGTGAGCTGGTAGTGAGTCCGAGGTGGTGCAGCTCCTCTTTAAGGAGCTTTAGAGGCCGAGACTATTCCGATCAGAGCTCTGAGCATTCCGGGTCTTGTGCCTCGCAGAGCCGTCGTGAGGACTTCTCCGACTCGCTTCTTCGTGCTGAGACGTCCGCGACAATGCCGCTGCCCAGGGCTGCAGAGGCCTGGGGCTCCGCAAGTCTCCACAGTGTCTAACGGTCTAACGTGCACAGCGTCTCCTCGGGGTGGCCTGTCACGCTTGACTCACTCATCGTCATCGTCGTCGTCGTCCTCAACGACGGGCTTTTTGGCCACCTGTACACGGGTCGAAGGCAAGGCGGAGGAGCTGTGGCGCAGATGGCGCTTTTGCGTAGGCTCCCCCCGGCCTTGGCCTTCTTCTTTGGCCTCTCCTCCTCCTCCTCCTCGTCGTCCGAGTCATCGAAGGTCTGCTTCGTGCCTGCGCTCTCCGAGCTTTCAGCTCTTCTTCAACGGAGCCTCTAAAGCAAAGGGGCGCCCCCCCCCCAGGGGGGTGGCCTGTGGACTCGACCTGAGCTCGGCTTCCCTCTCCGAAAGCTCCTACTCCGACTCCTCCCCCGTCTGAGGATCCCGGCCATCGTTCCATCCTTCACAGACAGAGACAGCGACAAAAAAAACCCAAAACCGGCGCTCCGAACGCCCAGCCTTGGCTGCTTTGTTGGCCGAGGTCGCCTTGCCCTTCTTACCTATCAGCAAGGGACCAGATTGCCACGAAGAGGCTGCAGACTTCTCCGAAATAAGGTATTTGCGAGCCTTTGCCCTTTCCTTTATCTTTGCCCTTACCTTTGCCGTCCTTGGACTTACCTTGAGCAGCATGGAACTCAGCTGGGCCCTTCAAGCAACCTCAAAGCCCGCCTTTGCCGTCCTTGCCTTTGCCATCTTTGCCCTTCCCTTTGCCTTCCATCCAGCTCGGCAAAGGACCAGCATTCATCAAGCACTGGAGTGGTGAATGCCGACCTTCACGGTCGCCCGCTTTGCTGACGTAGATGGTTCGTCCACTGTATTCGGTCTCATTGAACTCCAAGGCCTTCTTCACCGCCTGGTTGCTTTCCGTAGCAGGCGGAGGCGACTCCCCCCCCCCTTCCGGAAAGCCCCGCAAAGAGACCGGTAGCCTCTTCATCTTTGAACTCGACGAAGGCGATGCCCTTAAGCTGCCCGTCCTGCTCTGAGCCGGCTCCCAAGCCAACGGCGACCAAACAAATCCCGAAACCGGGGCCTCATTCTTCAGACACCGGCAGGAGACCAGCTCTCCACACTCCGCGAAGTCCTGCCAGTGTGCGCAAATGTGCAGAGTGCAGCTCCCTGCAGGATTCGTGCAAAATTAACATGCATACGAGGTTATCAACACATGTAAATGGATGTAGTTGAGACGTACAAAGTGCATTGTAATTATATATATATATATCTCTCTCTCTCTCTCTATCTATCTATATTTAC